AATATCACTAATAATAACACCGACTACAACTATTACTACTACTACTATTATTACTACTACTACTACTAAAAGTAATACGAAAACACTGTAACAATATAATACAGCTAGGGCCTACCACTGTAACGCTGCAGGATAGTTTGAAATGGTGCTTAGGACGACTGTAAGTATGTAGGTTAGGTTAGATTAGTTAGGTTAGGTTCGGTTAGGTTGAGAAAGGGGATTAAAGACACTGTTGAATAGTATTGAGTTACCGTAACATTAAACCACGGCCGTTACTCAACATTAAACCACAGCCGTCACTCACACTAAATCACAGCCGTCACTCACATTAAACCACAGCCGTCACTCATAACTAAACCACAGCCGTCACTCACATTAAACCACAGCCGTCACTCACATTAAACCACAGCCGTCACTCATAACGTTAAGCCACAGCCGTCACTCATAACGTTAAGCCACAGCCGTCACTCAAAACATTAAACCACAGCCGTCACTCAAAATCAAACCACAACCGTCACTCAAAAACCACAGCCGTCACCATTAAACCACAGCCGTCACTCATATTAAACCACAGCCGTCACTATAGTAAACCACAGCCGTCACTCAAAACATTAAACCACAGCCGTCACACAACATTAAACCACAGCCGTCACTCAAAACATTAAACCACAGCCGTCACTCATAACATTAAACCACAGCCTTCACTCATATTAAACCACAGCCGTCACTCATATTAAACCACAGTCGTCACTCGTAACACTAAACCACAGCCGTCACTCATATTAAACCACAGCCGTCACCCATATTAAACCACAGCCATCACTCATAACGTTAAACCACAGCCGCCACCCAAAACACTAAACCACAGCCGGCACTCATAACATTAAACTACAGCTGTCACTCAACATATAACCAACCGTCACTCCTTAAGATAATGCGCAATCACATCTATCTATCTATCTATCTATCCATCCATCTATAGTAAGATTCTTATGGTAAAAAAAATCAATAAAAATCCCGACTTATAATTTTCGTTCGACCAGCTGAGGTGTTTAGGTCCTTGTTCCACGGAAAGTTGCAGACAATATAAAGTAAACGCGGTAATTGTCTTTGTTTTTCGTGTTTATTTTGCTACTTTATTTTACTTACTTTACTTTTCCTTACTACTTTACACCACTCTACTTTACTACCTTACTACTTTACTGTACTGTACTTTTCCTTACTACTTTACACCACTCTACTTTACTACCTTACTACTTTACTTTACTGTACTTTTCTTTACTACTTTACACTACTCTACTGCTTGACTACTTAAAACTACTCTACCTTACTGCTTTACTACTTTACTTCATTACTTACTTTACTACTTTCCTACTTTATTACTAACTTTACTTTACTTTACCGCTTATCAGAGTTTAATAGTTCATTAATTGTAATTACGCATCATAATCACCACTACAGTTTATCTCGCCTAAAGATTAACCTAACTTAACACTTTTTTTGGGGGGGTTAGGTTAGGATAGCTTTGGTTAGGAAAGGGTTAATTAGGTTAGGTTAGGAAAGGGTTAGTGTAGGTTAGGATAGCGTTAGTGTAGGTGAGGTTTGGTTAGGATAGCTTAGGTTAGATTAAGTTAGGATAGGTTAGGTTATGAATAGCCTAGCGTTAGGTTAGGTTAGGTTAGATTAGGTTAGGTTAGACTAAGTTAGGTTAGGTTTATGTTAAGATAGGTTAGCGTTAGGTTAAGATTGGTTAGGTTAGGTTAACGTTAGGGTAGATTATCTTTAGGGTGGTTAATCTTGAGGTTAAATAAGCTGAGTTTCTTCGGGTGTTGTGCTATTATTTCTCTTTATTACATCTTTTTTCTTCATATTCTTCCTTTTGTTTATTTATTTATTAAAGAATTGTCGCGCGCGTGTACAGTTGAATAATTTAAATGCTGTATTATTTTATTTATTTCTGTATTTTGTATTCATTGATTACATAATACAAAACTGATTCTTTGTATTTTTCGATTATATATTTTTATTTACAAGAGACAAAACCACGTAGTAATTTATTCTATATAGTATCGATTACTTGAGACCAACGCCAGGACAAGCGAAGACCGAGCGCCTGACGTAAGCTTCCTCTCCAACTTGTCACCCCCCCCCCCCACAACCTGCGATGATACACAGACGGAGACCTTCACCCGCGGTCTAGTTGTGGTCTTATAGCGGTCTAGTTGTGGTCTTATAGCGGTCTAGTTGTGGTCTTATAGCGGTCTAGTTGTGGTCTTATAGTGGTCTGGTTGTGGTCCTATAGCGGTCTAGTTGTGGTCTTGCAGCGGTCTGGTTGTGGTCTTATAGTGGTCTGGTTGTGGTCCTATAGCGGTCTAGTTGTGGTCTTGCAGCGGTCTGGTTGTGGTCTTATAGTGGTCTGGTTGTGGTCCTTAAGCGGTCTAGTTGTGGTCTTGCAGCGGTCTAGTGTGGTCTTGCAGCGGTCTAGTTGTGGTCTTGGTTGTGGTCTTGCAGCGGTCTAGTTGTGGTCTTGCAGCGTTGTGGTCTTGCAGCGGTCTAGTTGTGGTCTGCAGCGGTCTAGTTGTGGTCTTGCAGCGGTCTAGTTGTGGTCTTGCAGCGGTCTAGTTGGTCTTGCAGCGGTCTAGTTGTGGTCTTGCAGCGGTCTAGTTGTGGTCTTATAGCGGTCGGTCTAGTTGTGGTCTGCAGCGGTCCGGTCTTATTCTAGTTGTGGTCTTATAGCGGTCTAGTTGTGGTCTTATCTAGTTGTGGTCTTATAGCGGTCTAGTTGTGGTCTTACAGCGGTCTAGTTGTGGTCTTACATTGTGGTCTTATAGCGGTCTAGTTGTGGTCTTGCAGCGGTCTAGTTGTGGTCTTGCAGCGGTCGGTCTTCTAGTTGTGGTCTTATAGCGGTCTAGTTGTGGTCTTAGCGTCTTGTGGTCTTGCAGCGGTCTGTTGTGGTCTTGCAGCGGTCTCAGTTGTGGTCTTGCAGCGGTCTAGTTGTGGTCTTTGTGGTCTTGCAGCGGTCTAGTTGTGGTCTTGCAGCGGTCTGTCTAGTTGTGGTCTTGCAGCGGTCTAGTTGTGGTCTTGCAGCGGTCTAGTTGTGTCTTGCAGCGGTCTACAGCGGTCTGTGGTCTTGCAGCGGTAGTTGTGGTCTTATAGCGGTCTAGTTGTGGTCTTGCAGCGGTCTAGTTGTGGTCTTGCAGCCAGGCGGTCTAGTTGTGGTCTTACAGCGGTCTAGTTGTGGTCTTGCAGCGGTCTGGTTGTGGTCTTACAGCGGTCTAGTTGTGGTCTTGCAGCGGTCTGGTTGCGCGGTCTGGTTGCGGTCTTGCAGCGGTCTAGTTGTGGTCTTGCAGCGGTCTAGTTGTGGTCTTGCAGCGGTCTGGTTGCTGTCTTACAGCGGTCTAGTTGTGGTCTTACAGCGGTCTAGTTGTGGTCTTACAGCGGTCTGGTTGCGGTCTTACAGCGGTCTAGTTGTGGTCTTACAGCGGTCTAAACCAAGACCGTATTATCCAGGTACCGCCGCTGGTTGACGGTCGGTCGGACGGTCTCATCGCGGTCAAAACAAAGAGTAGAAAAAGACCTAAAAGAAAGACCTAATTGATCCTTAACGGTCTTCAAGGGTCGCTCTACCGATTTATACAGACTTAAATATTTTCACTAGTTTGTAAATTATTTGCTAATATTCTTCATTTACAATTAACAAAGGAATAAAAATAATTTACCACAATTTATTTTACAATTTACAAAAGAATAGAAATACTGACTAATATTTATTTACCAATTTACAGAGGAATGAGAATACCTGTTTATAGTTCTTTTACAATTTACCCAAGAATGAAAATACTTGTAAATATTGTTCTTTTATAAATTACGAAGGTAAATGATGGGAAAGGACGTAAGATAATTATATATATATTAAACTCATCAGGAATCACAGAAAATCCTAAGTGCGTATATGGACCCTATAACTAACCTAGAGTGTAAATTAACTTGCTCTTATCCTAACCTAACCCAATCCTAATTTAAATCAACCCTAAATCTAACCAGAACATGATCAATCCTTAATCCAACCACATAGAACCTAACCTAATCTATCCTTAACCTACATAGAACCTAATCTATCCTTAACCTACATAGAACCTAACCTAACTCTAATGTAACATATTCTCTTTTATCCTAATTAACCTGTAAACAACCTTACCTAATCCAGTGCCCCTTAATCAAATATAACTTAATATAACCTGCGGATTTGGGATGGAAATTACACACACACACACACGGCGAGGATATGAAGGCGTCTTATAATAACAAACTCGTACGATAATTTTACCTCTATAATTGGTGATGTAAGAATGTATCAAATTAGTCGGCTTTCTTTGTTATTGATATTTGTTATAGGTTAGGTTAGGGTTATCAGTTATGACCAGACTGTCTCCCTTGAGGTGCGGTGTTAATGCAGGAGGAGATCCAAGTAACCAGACGCATCCTGCCATATTAGGTAATCACGCCCGACAACACTCTTATCCTGAGCCAAGCGGGACTCCAACCCAGGTCACTGTAGTGACATGTACACGCGCTCTACCTCTGAATTATCCGCCTAATGACGTCGATAATGTGTGGGGACTAATAAGAGGTGTTCCTTCATTATCGTTAAGGTGGAGGGGGAGGGTATTGTTGTAAGGCTGTGTTGGAGTGTTTGGCTACGACGACACAGGAGTTATACAGGTTGTTGACACACTTGTCGTAGGTAATGATGAACAGGTAATGTGGGTATGGGTGTTGGCGGGTATAGGTGTTGGTGGGTGTGGGTTTGGGCGGGTATAGGTGTTGGTGGGTGTGGGTTTGGGTGGGTGTAGGCTATAGGGTTTGGGGGAGGACTTGAGTTTAAGTGTGGATGTTAGCGTTGGTGAGGTATGGGTGTAGCCGTGGGTGACTTTGGGTGTGAGCGTTAGTGGGCATGGGTATATACTTCTGTGGGTGTAGTAGGCGTGGGTGTGACATACCTGGCCGCTAGGGCGTCGTGTTGGTGGGCGAAGGAGAAGGGGGAGTCACAGTTGGCGTCCTTCTTGGGGTCGTCGCGGCTGAGGATGCTGGAGATGCTGAAGGACTTATGGGAGGGAGGCGATGAGGTCTTAGGGGATGAAGCGCCGCTGTCGGAGCTCCTGGCGGGCGTGGGACTCGTGCTAGAGACCTCGGGCGTGGCAGTGGACGTCCTGTGAGCCTCCGACAACACGCCCATCCCCACGGTGGAGGCCGGGGAGCGCCTGCCGAGGGGTGAGGGAGACCTGCTGTGGGCCAGGGCGGGACTGCCTCGTGTGATGACGCTGGCTACCTCGTACGACATGGTGGTGGTGGTGGTGGGGGTCAAGGGGTCACGCCGCCACAGGTCACCTCATAGCGGAAGGTAACAGCCAGAAAGAAACACTGTCACGTGGCGGCCAGCGGGGGCCGTCGCCACTACGCTCTCACGTCTTTGAACAAACTCGTGCCTAAAATAAGTCAACACACCAGCACTCTGCAGGTCCAGCTACAACTGTGACAAGTACAGTAACTATCACCGAGTAAAACTGACACAGCTCAGTGTTTGAGTTTATAATCGCAGGGAGATGTTCCGTGGTAGTTCACAGGGAGAGACACACTTGTCCCGGGGCGCGGCACTTGATACAGGTGAGAGCAGGTGAAAAAGTGCGCTTATTGCTCCGATGCCGAACGCGGAGTGACGATAGAAGCAGAGAAAAAGCGAGCATTTGAGTATCTCAAGTGGGACCCGCCATTTCCCCGCCCACAAGACTAATGGCTTCGATCTGCTCCCTGGTTCCTCGCGGTCATTGGCTGGCGTCCACTAGGGGGTGTGGTGTGCTGTCCCCTCCTGCCACCCGATTGGTGGAAGAATTTGAGTGTTGAGGTATCATACTCCCGTTGATTGGCTGAGCGGCAAAGTTAATTTCACGCTGTTACAAGTGTAGTCGGCGCGTAAGTGTGGAAGGCGACACCTCGGAGTGACGCCCTGGTGGATTGGGCCGCGATCTCTGAATAATTTATAGAGGATCACATACACAGCGTAGTGGAGATGGCTGAACCAGTGATACACCCGCCCGCCTTCCTGCCTGCCCGGCCACCACCACCACCCTGCTGTGCTGAGAGGGTTGACTGAACGCTGGCAAATAACAGCGCGGTGCAGCAGCTGTCTGAAGCTCCCCCCACACACACACACTCACACACACAGTTTTAGCTGGTGTGTGGCGCGCCCTTCCACAAGTCTTACAAGGTTATCGCTTCACGCCTTTTTTTTTCTCCGAGTCTCTCTTATGTGAGTTGGAGGGTATCCGGGGTGTGAGGAGGAACAGGATACTATGGTCTTTCGTATCCCACAATATCCTTTCTTATACTACAATATCCTTTCTTATACTACAATATCCTTCCTTATCCTACAATATTCTTTCTTATCCTACACTATCCTTTCTTATCCTACAAAATCCTTTTTTATCCTACACTATCCTTATCTTATCCTACAATATCCTTTCTTATCCTACAATATTCTTCCTTATCCTACAATATTTTTTGTTATCCTACACTATCCTTATCTTATCCTGCAATATCCTTCCTTATCCTACAATATCCTTCCTTATCCTACACTATCCTTCCTTATCCTACAATATCCTTCCTTATCCTACAATATCCTTCCTTATCCTACAATATCCTGCCTTATCCTACACCATCCTTATCTTATCCTGCAATATCCTTCCTTATCCTACACTATCCTTCCTTATCCTAAAATATCCTTCCTTATCCTACAATATTCTGCCTTATCCTACACTATCCTTATCTTATCCTGCAATATCCTTCCTTATCCTACAACATCCTTCCTTATCCTACAATATCCTTCCTTATCCTGCAATATCCTTCCTTATCCTACAACATCCTTCCTTATCCTACACTATCCTTCCTTATCCTACAATATCCTTCCTTATCCTACAATATCCTTTCTTATCCTACAATATCCTTCCTTATCCTACAACATCCTTCCTTATCCTACACTATCCTTTCTTATCCTACACTATCCTTTTTTATCCTACAATATCCTACAATGACCTTCCTTATCCTATAATATCCTTCCATATCCTACAGAAAAATTAAAAAAAAATCGCATGGTCTGAAAAATGGCAGATGAAATTTAATGTGGACAAATGTAAAGTACTTAGTCTAGGAGATGTAAACAGAGAAACCAGATACCAGATGAACAACGATGTTATTGAGAAATCTGACTGTGAGAAAGATTTAGGACTAAGGATAAGTAGGAATCTTAAACCAAGTTAACAATGCGTATTTGCTCGAAACAAGGCTAATAAAGTACTTGAGCTCATACAAAAGAGTGTTAGTTACAAGACTAGCGAGGTTATCCTAAACTATATCTTGCACTTGTGAAACCTCACTTGGATTATGCAGTTCAATCCTGGTCACCGTACTACAGAATGGATATAGAATCCTTAGAACGAATTCAGTGGAGAATGACAAGACTAATACCGGGCATTAGGAACCTTGAGTACAGAGACAGGTTAAAGCATCTTAATTTGCACTCCCTCCAGAGGCGATACGATTGTTGCGTATAAATGAAAGTCAGGGTTAAATTAAGGTGATATAACAAAGGTACTCAAACTATCCAGCCAGGAGCGAACTCGTGCCAATGGTCTTAAATTAGACAAAGTTAGATTTAGGCGCGAGATAGGTGAACATTGGTTTGGAAATAGAGTAGTGGATAAGCGGAAAAAGTTACCAAACATCTTCATTAACTCGGATACGTTGGATAGCTTTAAACATAGGTTGGATGGATATATGAGCAATAGGGGTTGGGTGTAAATGGGACTGCCTATAGTATGGACCAATAAGCTCGCTGCAGTTTCCTCTATTCTTAGGTTCTTAATGTCCTTTCATTTTAAAACAAAAATTACAGAATATCATCAAGAACTTGTAGTTTTGTGGGACGTCTGTGTAAATATTTGTTGCAGGTACAGGTACAGACAGATACAGGTACAAGAATAGGTATGGGTAAAGGTATACAAGTACAAATACAGGTGAAGATACAGGTATAATTTTGGATTCATTTACAAGTACAGGTAGAGATACAAATACAAGTACAGATACGAATTCAGGTAAAGCTATACAAGTACAGATACAAATACAGGTAAAGCTATACAAGTAGAGATACAAATACAGGTAAAGCTATACAAGTACAGATACAAATACAGGTAAAGCTATACAAGTACAGATACAAATACAGGTAGGCTATATGTACAAGGCAAGTGCAGGTACAGGTACAGATGTTACATGAATTACAGTAGCGTTTTCAGTCACGTGTATCAGTGGATTAAAGTCTCCGCGTGACCCAAGATTATCAGGGTGTTGATAAGTTAACTAGACCCTGTTCTAATAGACTCGAGCCATGCTAGTTCCTGGTTCTAAGACGCTTTCACTTGTAATATAAACCACACATGATCGATTCCATCCCAACCTAACTCAACCATTAAGGACATGGGGCCCACATGAACTATAGGCCTCAATTTTAATGTTTAGTTGTTGGTATAGGGCCTATAGGCTATAGGTTGGGAGGTTATTACGTCTGGTGCTTATTACAGTTACTAGTGCCTATTAGCTCCGGGGTCATTTAACGGGGCCTATTAGGACTGGGGCCCAATTAACCAAGTCACTAGCATATGTATCACAAAAGCAATTACGCTATTTTTGCTTTTGTTGTCATCTTCGTCGGTACACTGTAGGTCGGTCTGAGCTCTGTTACGCACTGTTGGCAAGAACTGGATATGTACTGTAAAGGCTGTTGAATGTTTCTGCATATATGTGCCAGTGTTGGTAAGGCCTGGACTTTAAAGAGCTCACAATTGGTGCTTTCACGACACTCTCTGGCAGATCAAGTAAGTTAGCTTTGATAGTTTTCTTTAAAGAGAGTTTTATTTTTTTTCACCTTGATGCTGTGACTTCTGGTGGTCGGTCATCCTCGGGCACTAGATGTCTGCACTTGACTGAGTAATGTGTTTTGAGGCGCTTATAAACGTATACCAAATTGTTCCTTGGTGGTCTTTATATACAGTACAAACTATAGACAATTAAAGACTTTATAATCTCACATGGTATATTTGAATTGTCTGAATGCCATCACAGTTTGGACGTTCATAATCAACTGGCAGTCATTGGTGTGTCTCAGATACCAGACAGAATGACAGTACACTATATTGAAGAGGGTTATGAAGGATGTGCTATTAAAGTAAGACCTTCGGATAAATCCCAACAATTCCTCAGCAATATTCACCTTCTTCTCACAGTGATCCGAGAACACCAATTCGTTGTCACCATAATTGCCCAGATCTTTCTCACATCTAGTACCGAATTAGGAAGTTAGTAAGTTAGTTAAATCTTAGCATCCAATCTTGTGACTATTCATCTTCCTTTAATGTTTCATAGTCCATTAAGTTAACCATTTCCCTGAGCAGGTTAGTGTCATCTCCAGATATTGTTACAGATGAATGAATAAACATCTGTCGTGTCACTTATGAAACACACCAATAAAATCGGTCCCAAATCTGTCCCCAACACACACACACACTCACTGCATGCCTTGTCACTCATGTTATACGCGACGATTTCCTGCCATCGATCACCACGCATTGTTTACGATCGGGAAGAGTCAGTCACTAATCCGGGATAGATCTTTTCCCTGTGTGTCATATCGTTTTAATTTTATTTTCCACAGTACTACACCACCACAGTACCACACCACCGCACTACCGCACTACCACATTACTACCACACCACCACCTGCTACAACACTACCACCACATTACCACACAGCTCACGATCACGGGCAGATTCCCAGTGATCGAGACACAACCTCCGACATTCCTCTGGCATTCCCATTCCAGTTCACGTCGGCTACCTTGTTATAATGTTGCTAGTTTGTGGTCTCTCTCTCTCTCTCTCTGTTTACTGTTTCTTCTACAAGTATTTATTATTATTATTATTATTACATTATCATTATTATTATTATTACATTATCATTATTATTATTATTACATTATCATTATTATTATTATTACATTATCATTATTATTACATTATCATTATTATTATTATTATTACGACTCATTTAACCAGTTGTCATCATACAGGGTGTTCCATAAGTCTGTATATACTCAGGATGACAATTATCTCCCAGAACTACAAATTTTTGAGACACCCTGTACATTGTTTTTTCCTTTTATTTTATGGTTCCCACGCGAGAAAAATTATTGACAGCTAGAGATCTGAGGAAGATTACAAGAGGGGAAAATAATGTTGTTATCTTATGGAGAGAAAAAAAGATTGGTTCTGTTATCTGGACACTTCCGGATACAGCGTCTCGACATCCGGCTCCTGATTTAGTTTACTTTACAACCTGTGTGAGCCGGATAATATACTCTTCTCTCGCTCTCTCTCTTCTTCTTCTTCCTCCTAATCCCAAGGTGTATAAAATTATGATGTGTGGATTCGGTGATTTCTGTGACCCCCCAGTCCAGGGTGTCAAACTCATGGACCGCGGGCCAAATGTGGCCCTTGGGATGGTCAGGTGTGGCCCGCGGGATGACGGTAAAATTTGTCATACCGTTAAATTATTATAGAAATAGATATAATCATATTTATTAAGTAAAAT